TTTGAGAGATAGTCTCACTACATTGGCCTAGTTAGTCTCACTACATTGGCCTAGTTAGTCTCAAAATCCTGGCCTCAAGCAATCCTCCCACCTTGGTCTCCCAAAGTGCTGGGATTATAGGTGTGAACCACCACTCCCAGTCAGGAGTCCATGCTTTGGGCACAAATGCCATGCCCCAGCCAATGCTGAAAGCTACTCTTTACTGATATCAAATAAGTATGTGTGTCAGGGAGCTGAGGCCCCTGGCCAGCCTTAGCAGAGACAGAGCCAAAATGTGAACTCACCTACTGGAGGGTGTGGCAGCACAGTGGGTTCCGTCAGAAGGCGTGCAGGTTGCCAGTCTCTCCTGGTCAGCCTGGGCACCATGGACAGGCTGGTTGGGAGCAAGGGGTACCCCACCTTCCTTCCCAGGAACCATCAGCTTTGGGGAAAAATGGAGAGACAGTGAATCATGGCATGCCAGGCAGGAGGGGAACCTCACATTCTAGCATGACAGTATCTGCTTTCAAGTATTCCATCACCAATGCTGCCACCAAGTGGGCAGTAATCCCTGGACCTTTATCCTCTCTGAAGCTCAGTTAAGGGAGGGAAGACATGCATGGTAATAACTATAGAGGAAAAAGGAAAGAGAGGGAGAAAAATCCTTGAAAAGTCTTCTTTCTTTTCTGAAGTCTAAGAGGCTCCTTCCTCTCAGAGAGTCACTTTAGGTCTCTGAAGTTACAAAAGAGTTTTGCTTCAGGATATAGCACTTAGAACACATCAGCCTTGAGACAGCCCTTAATTGCCTCCAGGTAGGGGAGGCAGCACTGGAAACCCATGGTCCTCCCATCTTTAAAGATACCTGGTGAGGGTGTGTAGCATTTAAGCCAGCAGCAAACACTACTGGATAAGCCAGGTCAGCTGATCCAACGCCCAGGGCAGCAGGCTGATAGGAAAGGCGAGAGCTTGAGAGCTAAGCAAGAGAAAAAACAAAGAGGGGAAGAGGAAAGGCAAGGAAAAAATAGGCAATCCCAGAGCGTGACAAACAGGAGGGCTCAGTAGAGAGGTAAGGAATGGCTCCCGCCCACATGCCCACATTGCAGGGGGCCTGACATGATGGGGGTTAGGGACAGACCAGGCCATTCAGTTATCAGAGAAGAAAACACAGACTTGTTTGTACTGGGATAGGGATTACAAGCTGTGGAGCCTCCCAAAGGCCTGAAATAAGTTTCTTGTGCCCCATTTTCCCAGGGGCTGAGCTAACTGTTTCAGTGCTAAGCCCAGCAGATGTGTGGAGCACAAGCCTGGACAGAACTTGCAGCCAAAGTCATCAGGTTCTCCAAAGTCATTCTATTTTCTCCTTTGTCCTGAGGTACCTTTGAAACAGAAAGCCATCTTCTCTAATCACACCCTCCATCACCCCTGGAGATGGGAATATTGCTATTTATATTGAAAAAAGAAAGAATACCGGTCTTGAGTTGTTTATTTAAAAATGTGATATAAATAACTCCATGTATTTTTCACATCAATGGTAGGAGGAGGGGCAGATGAAAATTCCCTATTTTGGGCTGCTGGGCTGTGGCTATTAAAATCTATTACCAAGCCTCAAAATAATCCCACAGAACACTCGGGACATTTAAATAACTATACCCTGTAATTTATTTACAATTTTAAAATAAAAGGATGCCATCTGATTATATCCCCATCTTCCCATTATGGACTCACTTGATGGGAAAAGGCCAGTCCTGCCATGGGGACCCTCAGGGTATCCGTCACCACAGGAGTAGGGGTCTGAAAATGTGCCTTTGTGACAGTAAACACACACTGTGCACAGACACACACGGAGACAGGAGAAACAAGAAAAAAGAAAAGGGGCTTGAGAAAGAAGTGAAAAAACTCTCAAAGGAGCAGTAGCAAGAAAGGCTGGAACCAACACTAGAGTCAGGAGTGAAGGCGGCAAGGGCATGGGGCTGTCTTTCTAAAGGGACAACTTGGAAGGTCCTAGAGTGATGTTTACTTCAGGGCATTTCATGCATGCCTGTCTCCCTGATGGGCAGCTAGAAAACAAAGCTGAGGTGAGCTGGCTAAAACTTGACAAAACAGAGAAACCTGAGCCAAGCATTAATCTGTCTCTTCTCAAAAAAGAGAGGAAGTCAGATAGCAGCTTCCAACAGAAGGGCCTGACTGCAGATGCAAGGTAAAGATGGATAAGAATGCAGGGCCTGTAATGTGCAACTGAAAGCCTTTTTCAGGAAACCCAGAATCTGTAGGACAGTTTCAAACAGCTGACATTTATTGGCTGGAACTTTAAGAAGCTCAGATGCATGCTTTTCTACGTCATTCCAGGGAAGACAGTGGGTGTGCAGGGGTGTGTGTGTGTGTTCTTACAGTCCCTGCTGGCGTAGGTGAACTTGATAGAGTAAAAGCTGGGGCATGTTGAAAACTCTTATGATTTCAAAGCTACTTAAGGGCATAGTGATTATGATCATGATGATTATTTTGGGTCTTGCTGTTCCATTTTAGACCTGACCAGTTAGCTAATTAATGCTTAGAACTGGAGGCGGGACCTCAGGCCACAGTAGGTTCGTTTCTAGACTTAATTCTGTGCCCAAATGGCACAATGATCCTCATACTGTTGGCAAAACCAACAACATCACATTGACATATATTTACTGGACTTCAGCAAAAGCTCCAATAGAAACTGCTGAGTTGAGTAATTATGGAAGTCACTAAGAAAAATACTACTTCGGCATTAACAGGAATGAGAAGAAATGACAGCAAATGATTGTCTCTCTACCACTGAGAGAAACTAGGTTCAAAATGGACTATTTTTGTACCAAACTGTACCAGCCTTGATCAGAGGTCCCCAAGGAGTAATGACAGGGCTCACTTATGGCGTGCAGACTACTGATAAGAACTTGGTGTGATCTAGTTTTAAACTGTCATAAGACACATTAGGAGACAGTTACCATGAAAAAGATAGCCTCTAGTCACACAGGCATACAAACTTTGATGCAAACATCAGGTGCAGAAACTACTAAATGTACATTTACTTTTAGGTTCAACTTCCCATTGTATCTGGGAAACAGACAGGCTAATCAGTAAGGCCCAGTCTCGCCATCCCTCATGTCTCACAAGTTACAACTTTATTATTTATGAATCTATTACTTGTAAAATAGAACTGCTTACTGAAATTTAAATTTGACATCTCTTTTAGAACAGCTGGGATGAGCTTATAAAAATTAAAAAAAAAAAAGGCCGGGCGCGGTGGCTCAAGCCTGTAATCCCAGCACTTTGGGAGGCCGAGGCGGGTGGATCACAAGGTCAAGAGATCGAGACCATCCTGGTCAACATGGTGAAACCCCGTCTCTACT